ATGGCACAATCTCAGCTCACTGCAACCTCTGCCTCCTGGGTTCAAGTGATTCTCCTGCCTCAGCTTCCCTAGTAGCTGGGATTACAGGCATGTGCCACCATGCCCAGCTAATTTTTGTATTTTTAGTAGAGAAGGGGTTTTACCATGTTGGCCAGGCTGGTGTCGAACTCCTGGCCTCGAATTATTCCACCCGCCTGCGCCTCTCAAAGTGCTAGGATTACAGGCATGAGCCACCACGCCCAGCCTGGGGCTCAAATTTCAACATGAGATTTGAAGAGGACCAATATCCAACCTGTATCAATACTCAAAACAATTGAAAACAGGTTTTTGAAGAGGTATTTGTACACCCATGTTGATATGGGCATTACTCATGAGAGCTAAAATACGGAAACAACCTAAGTATCCATCTAAGAATGAATGGATAAGCAAAATGTGGTTTATCTATACAATGGAGTATTATTCAGCCTCACTACGGAAGGAAATTCTGACACCAGGCTGCAACACAGACGAACCTTGAGGACATTATGCTAAGTGAAATAAACCAGTTACAGAAAGACAAATACTATATGATTCTACTTGTATGAGGAACCTAGAGCAGGCGGCCTCGTAGAGATGGAAAGTAGAATGTTGGTTGTCAGAGGCGGGGTGGGGGAAGGGGGACGGGGAGTTAGGGTTTAATGGGTAAGGAGTCTCAGTTTTGTAAAATGAAAGCCTTCTGTGGATGAATGATGGTGATGGTTGCACAGCAGTATGAATGTACTTAATGCCGCTAAACTGTTCATGTAAAAATGGTTATGATAGTAAATTTTATGTCATATGCATTTTATCACAATAAAAATTGGTGGTGGGGTGGCGGGGTGGCGGGAGTCATTTTGGAAACAAGACTCAGATAGTCATTCAGCCACATCGTTGCGTTCTCTCTACAGACCAGGTGTTCTTCCAGGCTTTGGGGGAAAACAATGCCTGAGACAGGCTCAGTTCCTGCCCTCTTGGAGCTTACACCTTATCAGGTGGCAGGGAGGAGTCAGTCAACTAGGAAACCAACAAGTAAAATAACAAATCAACAACCGTGTCCAATGCACTGATCTGAAATCTTTGCCACTTCCCTACTGAAGGCAGGATCAAGCCGAGGCTAAGCTCTTTAACTTTCAACACTATAAAGCCTGGACTTTTTAAGAGTTGGCCTCGGTTAATCTTTCCAGACCTATTACTGCTGCCTTACCCGCAATTCAACTGCCATCAGTCACAAGGAACTACTTTCCCCACCACCTTCCTCGGACCCCTGCTCAAAGCCAGGAACTTTGGTGGCTTTATTCCTTCCTGTTCTTTCTGCCTATCTTTCTAGACTGCCCAATTGAAAAATCACAATTATTTCAATTCCGGAAGTTTATCCTAAGGAAACAATTAATGAATATAAGGAGTTAGTTTGGACACTGTTATTTTGCATAATAATGGCAACAAACGAGAAACCCATTTTATTTCTAATCCCTCCAACGACAGTCCTAGCCAAGACTCTAAAAAAATTTGTTTAACTTTGGAATAATTTTAGATTTATAAAAAAGTAGCCAGGTGCAGTGGCTCACACTTGTAATCCCAGCACTTTAAGAGGCTGAGACAGGTGGATCACAAAGTCAGGAGTTCGAGACGAGCCTGGCTAGCATGGTGAGACCTGCCTCTACTAAAAATACAAAATTAGCCAGGTGTGGTGGTGCGCACCTGTAATTCCAGGTACTCGGGAGGCTGAGGCAGGAAAATCACTTGAACCCAGGAGGTGGAGGTTGCATGCAATAAGCCGAGATCGTGCTACGGCACTCCAGCCTGGGCAATAGAGCAAGACCTTGTCTCAAAAAAAAAAAAGTTGCAAAGGTAATATGGAGTGTTTCCGTCTACCCTTTACCCAACTTCCCCTAATGTTGGCATCTTTTTTTTTTTGAGATAATCTCACTCTGTTACCCAGTGGCACGATCTCGGCTCACTGCAACCTCCACCTCCCAGGGTCAAGCGATTCTCCTGCCTCAGCCTCTCGAATAGCTGGGACCTGTAGTCTCAGTCACTTGGGAGGCTGAGGTGGGAGGATTTCATGAGTCCGGGAGGTAGAGGCTGCAGTAAGCAGTGACTATGCCTCTGCACTCCATCCAGCCTGGTGACCCTGTCTCAAAAAAAAAAAGAAGAAGAAAGAATGCTGGTAGCCAATTAGTACATGGGGAAAAAAAGAATCATTATTCAACTCCATCATAGTAAAGGAAATGCCGATTAAAACAATGCCATCTTTCACACAGGAAATCTAAAACATTTTAAAAGTTATAAAATTTTAATTTAAATAAAGAATGCTAACTGGGACGTAGTGGTTTCAGGAGATCAGCGTGAAAGAGTACATTGGAGAACAGTCTGAAGATGCAGGCCCAAACCTTTAAAATGCTTCGCTTTAAGACACTTTTAATTCCACAATTTTAATCTCCATATTAAAAATCTTCGATGCCAAGATTTTATCTTGTTATCCCGAGGTAACGATTTATGGTTGTATAAGAGTTAATTTCAACACTATTTTTTATAATAGCAATAAAACTAGAAATCAAATATATTTGCAGCAACAGGGAATTGCTGATGTAAATTGCAGCTCTTTCATATACTGAAGTGGTTCTCAACCACTAAAAATTCCAGTGTCAATGAATACTGATGATATGAAAGATTGTCCATATACATCAAATTTTTAAAATTAGGGTTATACTGGGAGGCGGAGGTTGTGGTGAGCTGAGATCATGCCACGGCACTCCAGCCTGGGCGACAGAGTGAGACTTTGCCTCAAAAAAAAAAGCGGGGGGTGGTCATAAAACCACATTGCAGTAATATTCCATTTTTGTAAAAAACAAAAAAAGTGTTTTGTTTACACAGCTCACAGTAAGCATGCACACCATCATGGATATTTATCAGCAGTAGTTATGGATGGGGGGGGGCCAATGAGGGGTTTGGATTTTCTTTCTGCTAATCCATGTTTAACTAATTTTTATTTCATAAACAAGCATTGTTTTCATAACAAGAGAAAACTGTTATTGATAACACCCTCTCCTCCCATTTGGAACTTTAATGACCTATGCTGAAGACCCAAAGGCTTGTTATGTACCCCACAGGGATTACTGCCAGGCCAGGTACTTTGTGAACTGTAGAGAGGTTTGAAGACATCAGCTACCACTGCTGGTGGTTGGTTCACCCTTGGCCTCTCTTCTGAGACTTAGGAAGCTAAGATAGGAGCATGGTGGAAGCCACAGCACCCGACTCACAGGCAGCTATGAGAAAATACTCGCCCAGGGCTGGGTGCGGTGGCTCACGCTGTAATCCCAGCGCTTTGGGAGACCCAGGGAGGCAGATAACTTGAGGTCAGGAGTTCGAGACCAGCCTGGCCAACATGGTGAAAGCCCATCTCTACCAAAAATACAAAATTAGCTGGGTATGGTGGTGCGTACCTGTAATCTCAACTACTCGGGAGGCTTAGGCAGGAGAATTGCTTGAACCCAGGAGGCAGAGTTTGCAGTGAGCCAAGATCACACCACTGCACTCTGGTCTGGATGACAGAGTGAAACTCCATCTCAAAAAAGGAAAAAAGAAAAGAAAATGCTTGCCCAGCATTGTATTTTGTATACACGTGTAATTTTCCACTGGAGCACAGTTCGACGAGTTTTGACAAACACAGGCAGTCATGTAACCACCACCACCACAATCAAGGTAAAGAAAAGTTCCATCACCCCCCAAAATTCTCTCCTGCTGCTGCTTTGTAGTCTGTCCCGCCTCCGCCCCCAGCAGGCACTGATCTGTTTCTTGTCCTTACAGTTTTGTCCTTTCCAGGATATCGTGTAAATGGAATTATACAGTATGATGCCTTTGGAGTCTGGCTGCTTCTGCTCAGTAGAATACATTTGCGATTTCCCCACACTGCGTTTATTCCATGGTGTGAATGTGCAAGACCACAGTTTACTTACCCCTTCACCTGTTAAAAGGATATTTAGATTGTGTCTCCTTTTTGGTGATTATGATGAAAGCTGCTATAAACATTCAGAGGTTTTAGTATCAACATATGTTTTCATTTCTCTTGAGCAAATACCTAGGAGTGGAATTGTTGGGTCTGTGTGTGAGTATATGTTTATCTTTATATGAAATGACCAAACTTAGAAGGTTTGGGCCAGTTCCTCTGGCCAGCAGCAGGGCTATGCAGGGACCTAAGGAAAACTGGCGATCACTTCTCCTCCCATTTGGAACCTCAGTGACCTATATTGAAGACCCAGTAGAAACCATTTGTCTTTCCTGGAGTGATGCTTTCACTTTTGCCAGCTGATGTGAGTTCCACCCTGCTAGGTAGGAGGCTGACTGCCTCCCCATTGATGACTCTCCCTTCCCCATATCACAGGCATGGATATGACAATGAGTCGTGAAAGTTCTTCACTTAAATAATTTTTTAATTAACTCTTTTTCTTAAGAAACTAATATGTGCACATGGTTTAAAAAAAAAAAAAACAGTCTAAAAGGATGTCCAGTGAAAAAATATACCTCTCCCTTTCATTCCAGGCCCTTATGTGAGAGGTAGCCACCATCTGCAATTTCTTGTATATACTTCTAGAAATTGTCTCTGCGTATAATGACGCTTTTAAAATGCTGCTTTTAGATGTTTTCCCGATAATCGAAGCAATAAAGTATTATAGTTGTCAGGATCATTATGAAATTATTGGGTAATTTCAAACTTGCAATAACTCATGTGAGGGTCCTCGGTCACCTTTAAGGACCCGCTAACCACCTGAAATTGCCAAGCATTCTATCTCTGCATTTTTCTGTGGCAGGTCAGTAGCTTTCATCAGATTCTCAAAGGGATCGGTGCACCAGAAGAAAGAAGCGGGTGGGGAAGAAAAGAAGAAAGGAAGGACCGTAGACGTGATCTTTCACAGATAAATGGCAGATAAATATATAATGAGCTTGGATAAATCTGTAATTGGCTGTAACTCAGAATGTACACATTTCAATTTGCTGTATTATTGCCCCTTGGTTTTATGATTGGAAGCTGGTAGAGCCATTGATTTATAAGGCTTAGGCTGTTTTGTCTTGGGCTAAAAGGAACTGTGCCTGGCTGAGCCAAAAGAGACGAAGGTCGTGGAGTTCTTCAACCATGCCTGTGTGTTTGTACTGACTCACTGTGTCTGAGGAAGTCTGTTGGTAGCTTTAGAACACGCATATTCTCCTGCCCAGGGTGAGCCAGTGACTGGGAACTTATCACGGAAAGGAGTAGACGAACTTGCTTCCCACAAGAGGGCTTCAGGCTGAAAAATATTCAAGAAGAGTTTAGGGAAATTCCAGGGAGGCAGAGCCGTATCCAGCTCATGACAAACGTTACAGATGTTTGGGAACTATCCTTGATAAGAGTCAGTATCTAGAGTTGGAGCGGGGAGCACCTAAGCTTTCCCATCACTCTTAAGTCATTTGATGCTCAAACAGTTCTATGTTGGGGAAACTGAGGCAGGAGTATGCTAGCTACAGTGCAAACTACCCCACATTTCAAGGACTTAAGGCACGCCAGTTACATTTTCATGTACTGGGTGGGAAGGTGGAGTCTTGGCTCCACACAGTCATTCAGTCTGTCTTCAGCACTTCCCCCCCCAAGGGTTTAGTGAGCTACTAACAGGTCCCACAGCTAGAAAGTAAAGGAATGGAGCCGGGATTTCAACTCAGCCAGTCTCATTCCAGAGTCTGTATTCTTAACTCTTATGCTGGGGTGAGAAACAAGAATACTGGCATCTAACTAGATTTACCTGGTATGTAACTTCAGAACTGGGAAGCCAGAGATAACTTGGGATTCTGAGGAACATTACTTCTTTGTTGCCAAGGAATCAAGCTCTTCTTTTTAAGGAGTGAGATGGGTAAATCTGAGAGACTTTTTTTTTAACTTTGTCTTCGGGTGAAAATTTTCAGGTTCAACATATAAAAATTAGAGCCCTTTCCCCCAAAAAATTTGCCCCTGAAATAAATGTGCATGAGACTATGTTGCTTGGTGCTTGGGTCTATCCAGTAGCAAATATCAACCCCCCAAAAGCTGATCCCTGCCCCCTGCCCCACCACCATGTTACTGCTCATTTCAGGGAGGAAGTTTGATAAATTTCAGCAACCTGATTAAAACATTTTTCCCAGCTGAAATTGTTCTCGTAGAAACAACCCAAATGTCCCATAGGAAAGCTGGAAAATCTGCTGTGGTTTCTACAAGGTTATGCAAGGGGAACACCACATGGCCATTCAAAATGGCAGTGACGCAGAGGCTTTGAAGACTTAGAAAGATGAGTCTAATTTGCTATTGTAGAAAGGCAGATTATGAAGCTGGTCCATTTTTTATCTCAAAAAAATACGCAAAGAATAAAAAGTTGACTATTTACTATAATGTTTCTAATGATTATTCCTAACAGATTACAAGTAATTTTTATTCCCTCTGTCTCTTTTTTTTTTTTTTTTTTTTTTTGAGACGGAGTTTCACTCTTGTTACCCAGGCTGGAGTGCAGTGGCGCGATCTCGGCTCACTGCAACCTCTACCTCCTGGGTTCAGGCAATTCTCCTGCCTCAGCCTCCTGAGTAGCTGGGATTACAGGCACGCGCCACCATCCCAGCTAATTTTTTGTATTTTTAGTAGTGACGGGGTTTCACCATGTTGACCAGGATGGTCTCAATCTCTTGACCTTGTGATCCACCTGCCTCGGCCTCCCAAAGTGCTGGGATTACAGGCGTGAGCCACCGCGCCCAGCCTCATTACTGTTGTTTTTTGAGATGGAGTCTCCCTCTGTTGCCCAGGCCTGAGTGCAGTGGTGTGATCTTGGCTCACTGCAACCTCCACCTCCTGGGTTCAAGCGATTCTCCTGCCTCAGCCTCTCGAGTAGCTGGGATTACAGGTGCATACCACAACGCCCAGCTAATTTTTGTATTTTTAGTAAAGATGGAGTTTCACCGTATTAGCCAGGCTGGTCTCAAACTCCTGATCTTGTGATCTGCCTGCCTCAGCCTCCCAAAGTGCTGGGATTACAGGCGTGAGCCACCACACCCAGTCTGTCTTGTCTTTTCAAACCTGTACTTTCTGAGCTTCCTACAGAGAAACGTGTGACTTTGTATTAAAGTAACAGCTTTAAGTTCAAATGGTCCTAATGATCTGGGTGACCTTGAACCATGGCTCACTTTCTCGAAATGGGGAGAATAGTTTTAGGATTTTGTCAAGATTAAACTATAAAAGTACTTAACACTGTACATGTTCAGTACATTTTTCGGTGTCACTGTCATGGTTATTTTTGAAAATCTTTCCATTCTAATAAGTCCATTTCAAATCCACGCCAAGTACATCTGAGAGCCATGGGGCTTTATCTCAGAATGCCTGGGAGTATGGACCCATGAGCAAGCCCGTCTTCTACCTTCCCTCCTCTCCCCCGGCCCTCTGCTATAGAGCAAGATAAAGCTCGATGATCCCTGTCACCTCATACTGCTTTTAAATGTGATCAGGGCGGCTGTGGCTGATGTCTGGTTTCTGTCTTCTGCACAAAGAAATAACTCATGGTTCTGGGCATAATGGCATTTTGATTCAAAGCACAGATTCTGGAGTTAGACTGCCTGGGTTCCACATCCATTAAATGGGAATAATAATAATGCCACCCTCCCTGGGTTGGGGTGAGAAGGAAATGATACTTAGCAAAGCGTCTCAATAAATGCTAACTCTCAGAGATACAACGGTGAGCCTTAGAAATTCACAGAGCATCACATCAACCATGTTAAAATGAACAATTTCCTGGTATCTTGTACACTCACATTGTTGTGCAACTGCCACCTCTATCTAGTTCCAAAACATTATCATCGCCCCAAAAAGAGCCCCGTACCCACTAAGCATTCCCTCCCCATCGCCACCCTCCCCCACCAACCCCGCTGCTGGCAACCACCTATCTGCTTTCTGTCTTTCTGGACATTGCATAAAAATGGAATCACACAATATGTGACCTTTTTGTGTATGGCTTCTAAGCTTTTTAAAAATTTTTAAAAACTATTTTAACCTTTTTAAAATTTGAAACAAGATCTTGCTCTGCCACGTGGGCTGGAGTGCAGGGACATGATCTCAGCTCCTGCAGCCTCTGCCTCCCAGGCACAAGCGATCCTTCCACCTCAGCCTCCTGAGTAGCTGGGACCACAGGCACATGTCACCACATTGGCTAGTTTTTCTATTTTTTGGTAGAGACAGGGTTTTGCCATGTTGCCCAGGCTGATATCAAATTCCCAGGTTCAAGTGATCTGCACATCTCGGGCTCCCAAAGTGCTGGAATTACAGGCGTGAGCCCCCACCACACCTGGCCTATTTCAACCATTTTTAAGTGTGCAATTCAGGAGCATCAACCACATTTACAGTGCTGTGTGACCATCACCTGTCTTTTCCCAGAACTGCTACATCATCCCAAACAGAAATGGAGACAGGTTTTCTAAATGCCTGCTTGAAGTTCTCCATCTTCAGCTTGTGTTAGAATCCTCTGGGGTGGGGGTCCTGTTAAAACACAGATTGGGCCAGGTGCAGTATCTCACATGTGTAATCACAGCACTTTGGGAGGCCAAGGCAAGCGGATCATGAGGTCAGGAGTTCGAGACCAGTCTGGCCAACATAGTGAAATCCAGCCTCTACTAGAAATACAAAAAATTAGCCAGATGTGGTGTGTATGCCTGTAATCCCACGTACTCGGGAGGCTGAGGCAGGAGAATTGCTGAACCCGGGAGATGGAAGTAGCAGTGAGCTGAGATCGCACCATTGCACTCCAGCCAGGACGACAGTGCGAGACTCTGTCTCAAAACAAACAAACAACAACAACAAACCCAAAAACACAGATTGCTGGGCCCTTCCTCCCCCACCACATCCTCCACCCCAAGTTTCTGATTCAGTGCACCTAAGTGGGGCCCCAGAATGTGCATTTCTAACCAGCTCCTGGTGACGCTGATGCTGTTGATTCGGGCCACACCGGAAGACCGCTGTTTTAGATCAACAGGTTTGCAGGACAGAGTGGATGATGGCATCCTTCAGGGTCAATCAGAGAAGCCAAACTTCTATGGCCTATGGGATAAGGGGTTTATTATGGGAATTCGATCTATGCATTCATAGGGGAGCAGCAGAAGTGAAGGTGAAAGAGTTGCCAGGGGTCAGAGACATCACCCCCTGGCCCTGAGTACACGAGGAAACCAGTGGAGAAGTCTACAGCCGGCTGTTTTCCGGTCCATCCCCAGCTAAGTGTCCCGGGGTGGTAACAGGACCAGCAGTCAGGAGAAAGGGCTGGATGCAGAGTGGAGGACAGGCTGGAATCTGCCGGAACCCACGGGGCTGTCTCTCACCGCATCCAATCATGATGACCTCTAGAGTGCAATGGCTGCCGCTTCACTTCCACCTCCCAGCTTACCACAGATTCCTCTTTTGGCCAACTGGAGCCTAAAACCGCTCAGGGAAGGGGATTCTGGGAAATGCAGTTCCAGCTTAACCAATCCGGCACAGCAGGAACTACCACAACAGATGAATCAGTCCTGACCGCAGACCCTCCTCCTTGAGCCCAGGGTGGTTTCTGGGGCTCTGCTGGGGGTTCCCTGACTCTCTTGACAAGACCTTCTAGCAGGCACAGATCTGGTCCATCCCAGCATCCTTGCTCAGATCATCAGCTGAGATCTTAATAAAAACAGATTGCCAGGCCCCAGCCCAGGCCTGCCAAGTCAGACCTCAGCAGTGGGACGCAGGAATCAGATTTTTAAACAAGTTCTCTAGCTGATTCAAATATCCAGCCAGGTTTGGAACTTCGGATGTATGGAAAAGAAAGTGGGCTCTGGCCAGGCACAGTGGCTCATACCTGTAATCCCAGCACTTTGGGAGGCTGAGGCAGGTGGATCACTTGAGCCCAGGAGTTCAAGACCAGTCTGGACAACATGGCAAAACTCCATCTCTGCAAAAAAGAAAAAAAAAAAATACTAAAATTAGTGGAGCATGGTGACGCATGCCTGTAGTCCCAGCTACTTGGGAGGCTGAGGTGGTAGCGTCACCTGAGCCTGGGAGGTGAAGGCTGCAGTGAGCCAAGATTGTGCTACTGTACTCCAGCCTGGGGAACAGAGTGAATGAGATCCTGTCTCAAAAAAAAAAAGAAAAAAAACTGGGAAAGGAAGGAGGAGGGAGGGAGGAAGGGAAAGAAAGAAAGAAAAGAAAAGAAGGAAGGAAGGGAGGGAGGGAGAGAGGGAGAGAGGGACGGGGGGAGAAAGTGAGCCAGGGGTTAGAATTCTGGTTCCACCACTTGCCAACTTTGTGATCTTGAGCAAGTGACTTAACCCTTTATGATCCTATATTGTCGACAACACAGGATCATTTCACTTCCCACTATTTCAGTTACCCATGGTCAACTATGACCTGAGAATATTAAATGGAAAATTCCAGAAAGAAATGATCCATAAGTTTTCAATTGTGCACCATCTGATGTGGTGAAGTCTCACACTGTCCCACTCTGTCCTGCTCCGGATGTGAATCGTCCCTCTGTCCAGCAGATGGGTGCTGCAGACACTACCTGCTCATCGGTCACTTAGGAGCTGTCCGGGTTATCAGATCAGAAAACATAGTATCTGTAAGGTCGTGTGCTGACTGTCCTTTCAGGCATCCACTGGGGGTCTTGGAATATATCCCCTGAGGATATGTGCTCAGCTATTAAATGAATGGGCTCAATGCCTGCCTATCTCGTGAGGGTTGTGGGAACCGAATGAGGCCGTGTGTAACAAACTTCTGGCAGGCAAAGTATTATTGTGCTTAATCCAGTTAATAGTTGTCCCTAGACATGCCTGGGAGTAGGTCAGATGGGCCCAGCATCTCCTCTTTTTACTTAGGAATCTGGGGGCTTAACCTGATTGTATTCTTTCTTTTTTTCTTTTTTTTTTTTTTGAGATGGAGTTTGACTCTTGTTGCCCAGGCTGATGTGCAGTGGTGCAATCTCAGCGCACTGCTACCTCCGCCTCCTGAGTTCAAGCGATTCTCCTACCTCAGCCTTCTGGGTAACTGTGATTACAGGCGCACACCACCATGCTCAGCTAATTTTTTGTATTTTTACTAGAGATGGGGTTTCACCATGTTGGCCAGGCTGGTCTCGAACTCCTGAAGTCAAGTGATCCACCCACCTTGGCCTCCCAAAGTGTTGAGATTACAGGCGTGAGCCACCGTGCCCGGCCAACCTGATCATATTCTTAATACGGATTGTTTTCCTGCCATCGTGAAAACTATATTTGCTTTAAAGTCTTTAAAGTCTCAGTTCACATTCCAGGCATTGTTTTATATAAATATCATTTGCTTGTTTTTTCTTTAAGCAAATTTCATAAACTCCATCTAAAAAAAAAATTGTCAAAGAAGAGCCTTTCAACTTCCAGTTCTGCTTATCTAAAAACACCCTTTCTTCAGCCTGGAATCTTGGACATTTTACCACATGCTGAATGCTTCTATGACTTTCTTTTTGTGCCTGTCATCTTGATGTTAGTTGTCACCTGAACTAGGTAAGACGGTTGTGGTCTGTGTGAGTAGAACAAGCTACTTTTTCCAGAAGGCAAGTTGTAATGTTTCATAATACCTGCTCTTCAGTGGGTCAAGGCAGTGCTCCAGGGCCAGGCCACCTGATAAAGGGAACAGTAACTTTCAAATGTGACTTATAAAGAAGCTGTTATTTCCACAGGAAGCAAAAGCAGCAGTAAGGAAAACAGGGTTTTGCAGTTCCACTGGAAGGAGGTTGGGGAAGATCAGAAATCAGGGCCGGACCTCTGAGAGCAGCTGTCAGCACTGGGCAAAGGCTGAGAGACAGGCGAGCATGGGGCATCTCTGAATGACAGGCCAGGTTCTGTGCCTTAGACACACTTCTGTAGCCTTCACTGATAGGATCCCATCATTTTCCTTTTTCTTTTTCAGATGGATCTCACTCTGTTGCCCAGGCTGGAGTACAGTGGCTTGATCTTGGCTCACTACAGCCTCCACCTCCTGGACTCCAGCCGTCCTCCCACCTCAGCCTCCTGAGTAGCTGGGACAATGGGCATGCTGCCACCATGCATGGCTATTCTTTAACTTTTGTAGAAATGGGGTCTTGCTATGTTGCCCAGGTTGGTCTCAAATTCCTGGGCTCAAGAGATCCTCCTGCCTTAGCCTCCCAAAGTGCTGGGGATTACTGACGTGAGCCACCACAGCCAGCTCTGTTGTTTTCCTGTACCGGTTTCAACTCTGAAATGTTTCATCCTGGAGACCTAGGCACATTTTATTCAGAATTTGAAACTTTCCTATCTCAGTAAAGGGCTCAGGTTGCCATAGCGAATGTCATACACTGGATGGCTTGCATGATAGAAATTTATTTTCTCAAAGTTCTGGAGGCTGAAGTTTAAGACCCAGCAGTGTTCTGTTTCTGGCAAAGGCTCTCTTGCTGGCTTGCGAATGGCCGACACCTCACTGTGCTGTGTCCTCACGTGGTCTTTCCTTGATGCATGTGTGCAGACAGAACTCTCTGGAATCTCTTTTTATGAGGGCACTAATCCCATCAGACCAGGGCCCCACCTTCATGACCTTGTCTGACCTTAATTACCTATCCAAAGCCCTATTTCCTAATATGTTGGAAGTTAGGGCTTCAACATAGAAATTTTGGATGGGCACAGATATTACGTCTATAACAGCACCCTACCAGCCTTTTGGTGGCTGACACTAAAATCCTCTGTCCCCTTCATCTCTCCCGCTCCAATCAAACTCACCGCAAGTTCTTTTCCATTTGTCAACTTTGACTGTAAACTACGGCCAAGTGTGGTGACTCAGCTTCGGTAATCGCAGCACTTTGGGAGGTTGAGGCAGGCAGATCATCTGAGGTCAGGAGTTTGAGACCAGCCTGGCCAACATGGTGAAACCTCATCTCTACTAAAAATACAAAAATTAGCTGGGTGTAGTGGCGGGTGCCTGTAATCCCAGCTATTTGGAGGCTGAGGCAGGAGAATCACTTGAACCTGGGAGGCAGAGGTTGCAGTGAGCCAAGACTGCACCACTGCACTCTAGTCTGGGCAACAAAAATGTAACTTCATCTCATTAAATAAATAAATAGGGCAACAAGAGCAAAATTCCATCTAAATAAATAAAGAAAATAAGCAGGGCCGTGTCTCCTGAGTGGTTTTCTGTTGCCCTTCTATCTTGCATTTCCTCCAAGGTGATTTCTGCCGCAGGGCCTTTGCACTGGCTACCTCTGTGTATTAGTCTGTTCTCACGCTGCTCATAAAGACATGAGACATACCCAAGACTGGGTAATTTATAAAGGCAAGAGGTTTAATGGACTCACAGTTCCACATCCTGGGGAGGCCCCACCATCATGGCAGAAGGTGAGTGAGGAGCAAAGTCATGTCTTACATGGTGGCAGGCAAGAGACAGAGCTTGTGCAGGGGAACTCCCATTTCTAAAACCATAAGATCTCATGTGACTTATTCACTACCACGAGAGCAGTATGGGGGAAGCTGCCCCCATGATTCCATTATCTCCACCTGGCCCCGTCCTTGACATGTGGGAGTTATTACAAATGAAGGTGTGATTCAGGTGGCGGCGCAGCCGAACCGTGTCACTCTGCCTGGGACTTCCCCGCCCCCCAAGTCGGCTGCCACCTCGTCAGTCTCAGTGAAAATGCTGTCCTCTCTGAAAGTCCTTTTCTTGATCAGTCAAAAGAACCATCCTGTCCCTTTACTCTTAGATTCTCCTGTTTTCTTTTCCAGACACCTCCTGATAGGCTGTCCCTTTACTTGTTTGTCTCTTTCAGGAAAAGAGAAGCTTTGTGAGAACAGGCCTTTGTCTGGCTCACTTCTGTGTTCATAGTGCCCGACAACCCACTGCTCAGTCAATGTTTGTTGAAATGAATGAATAAGTGAATGAATGAATGACTAAATGAATGAATGAATGAAGTCAACAGAGATTTGTTGAGGCTTCCTGTGAACAGTCCTATGCCCACTGTTAGAGGAGTCCTAGGTGAATGTGAAAATGCCCAGAGGCAGCAATGAGAACACAGGTGTTGAGCTCTGCGCGTTAAACTTGAGTTAGAAAGATAAAGCGGGAATGAAACCAGCACCCTCAAGACGTCTCTAAATGGCCAGTAGCAGCTGGCTGATACCAACAACCTGCATGAACAGAACTCGAGAGCCACTCCCCGCTGGCCATGGCGGGAGGCTTCCGAGAGAAAGGGGAATAGAGCCAGACGTGGAAGGAGGGGAGGCCTCCGGGATGGGCTGGGAGAGGAGAGAAAACCACAGCACGGCAAGTGGAGGGCTGCAGAGGCTGGGCGACAGACCCAGGACTGTTTCCCTCCTTGGACATGTCCATGGCATGACCCTG